CACAGATGATGTGCAAATCGCTATTTTCAGTTTTAATTTTGATTTTACATACTGTCCCAACTTTTTCTGATTTGCAATTGTAGCTTTCCCAACACTGTGTTCTACTTTCACAAAGTGTAATGATGATGGCTTGCAGGGAAAAAACAGCTGTTGTATTTCCATTAATTTAGGCTTGGAGGCCTTAAGTGCTATTTGAAAAATACCATACTTTGGTCTAAGCGGTAAACAATAATGGAATAAACAGGTGTTGTGACATATATGCCTGGGGTCTTTCTTTTTTGTTTTTGTGGGGTTTTCTGCAGTGTCCCGAGAGTTAGGACAAGACAAGAATTCAGCAAACCTTCAATATTATGCTATGATTGAAATGTCAGATCATATTGTTCCACTTTAACAGATGTTATAAAGACTGTTGAGTTAGCCTGCAAATTCAGGCCTCCTGCTTGGTATGAGAAAATTCAGCCAGTGAACCACAGATGTTAGGTTGACACAAGTGGGCATAATTTAGGGACATAGAGAGAGAGAGGACTGATATATATATGGGGAAATGTGTGAGTTAGAGCTGTGAAAATAAATAAATCCTTTGTCTTGCTCTCATGAATGTGTCTGTATTGGCTATGGACAGATGCTAGCTAATGCTAGCTTAACAGTTACTGCTACAGCTGACCTGCTAAGTTTTCTTCAAGTGATTTTGGCAGTTACCAGACAGCTTCTGATGCATTACCACATCCTTATGGGCTGAAGGAGGTCTAAGTACTGTATCTCAAGATAAGAAAGACATATTACAGTCAGATTTGTGATCTCACAAATGGAGACATACATCTGGCCAAGCATAAATGAAAGTGGATGCCATCTCATCTGGATTTTATCTGGGTGTGAAACACTTAAAATGAATGTATCATAAGAATGTAGACAAATAATACATTTTAAATCACTATGAAATTATTGCTCAGAAAAAAGTGTACACTAGAGTTTTTATCATACTAGGGTGAATCCCCAGGTTTCTCATTTGAAGTGGAGCACTGGTCCATTATAAAAGCCATCAGGCCATCTAAGGGCACGTAGTGGTAGGCCATGTACTGTACTTCAAATCAGGCAAGCCTTAAAATTTGACAAGGCATTTTAAATAACTATTTGGAAGCTATATACTGTATAAATAGCAGTTATTTTGCCCTGGTTTCCCCACAAATATATGAATGATTTGGGCATTTCGGTGGCTGCCAACTGCCCTCACCATATGTGTCTGTATCCCACTTCCCTCTCCCTACCTTTTATGTTTAGCCATTTCTCTGGCATTTACAATCTGCTAGCTGAAACTAAACTGAGCTGAGGGGGTTATTTTGATACTGGGTCTGGGTCACTGTGGCCAGGTCTGGGTCTGCAGTGCAGTGCAGTAAAACCAAGCATCAACACTGGTCTGTCTGCTGACCTCTCCGTTAATATCCCACTGTTGGTTCATCTGGCTGTGGCCAGAGGCACAACCACTCAAACTGCAGTCTACAGATTCTTTGAAAAATATTTACTTATTCATAGACGCATACTGGAGAGTCTGGCCTTGAACATATGACAGACCACAATAACCACAGTCTTGTGAATTATGGTCGTCGTTGTTCAGTCAGATCTATATGAGTTTAACTGGCAGCCAAAACTGGCCCAAAGATATTTTTCTCTCTAAATGATTTGGCTGACTCAGAAATAAAAATGTGCATCCCACAAGCCAGTGAAACTCACCATAAGCATGAACCTAAGTGTCTGTTCATGCTGACCAACACACTAACAACTTATGGTTCCTTAGCAAAGCTTCATTTAGAGTTCATGCCTTTCTTTAAAGGTGCATTAGGATTTTATACACTCTTATAAATCAAGTAAAAATGGGATTGGATCTGGCATCTCTGAGCTATACTACCCCCTTCCACGCCAGTCGGCTACTTACTACTCTCAGAAATATCAATCTTAAAAAAGACATCCATAAAATTTATGATAACCTTCAAAAAAAGGACTTGTTGTCCAGTTTTGTGAATCCAATGGCTGCATAATACAAAAAGATCTCCACGTTGAATTCAGCTCAGTCATCTTTCTGCTCAACACCCAATTCTCAGTCTACCTGTACTGAAAATGCAATCAGAGGCCCAAAGAAAGACCCAAAACAATATCACTCAAATCATTTTTCACTGCTGCTCAATGATGCCCCACTCCAACCATCAAATGTTTCCAGAGCTTTTGCTTGTAATACTGGCCAGCCACAGACTCAACTCATCCTTGAGTGGCATGCAATGCAAACCCAGCTACTGCTGCTAACACCAATGCATTTACTGTGGTGACAGTAATTCTCCTTGGTGGCTGGCCACAAGCTACAGTGCTGTAAAACTGGGATGGTCTTTAGCCAAGAAGACATTTTTGTTTAATAACCTCAACTGAACTGTGTTTTAGATACTGAAACCTGGCTCAACCAATCCTGAACAAACTGTGATATAATAAGTTTGAAAAACAAAATATTCCAGAGGACAAAAATGGCTCAAAACAAAAGTTGAATTTTGAAATATATAAACTAAACTTTGATTACAACCAAGAAATGAAATCACCCAGATGAACATTTATTTCTGAGTTAATTATTAACAAAGCTGCATTTGTCAGAAACTATTGCAGCTTCCTATACAAATACCTCTGGTTTGCATTCTTCTTCACTCCAGTGTATAACTATAGTGCAATATTTCAGCCATTACCTCTTTAGATATGCTGAAGTTATCAAGCTTCTAAATTCAAGTGTTCTAGCCCTGGACACATCCGCCATGACCCCCCGATTAGCCAGCAGGTTGAGGTCGATGATGCATGGCTCTTGAGTGCTGGCCACCAGAATTGGTGTGGCCAGTAACAGTCAATTTGAGAGTTCTTTCACCCCATGTCTTCATGTTCTCCCCGCTAACCATGGTGATGCAGAGCTTGGTGGCCCTCCAGCCCTGTGGACCCAGCCCTCTCATTCCCAAGAGAATATCCCTGTACAGACCAGGGAGATCGTGGACCCCATGTACATCAGGATGTGGCACCATGTGCCTTCAAGTTCACAGTCCAAGTATAGTCCATCTGCCTGACCCAGCCGCGGTGATGACATGATGAGGGTACATGTGTTGTCTGTGGGTGTTAGGCTCTGTGTGACACAGGGTCTTGCCAGATGTGGGCCCATGGTGCTCACTCCAAGGCGGAGGAATTTGCCCCTGGCTTGCCAGTGTGGGTGCACAGCCTTGGACAGAAGAAGGGCCTGGCTCCCAGACTAGTGAGCCAGTGGGTCAGACCTTGTACTGTGATGGAAAGACTGTCAGATGCGGCAAATAGTGTGAGACCAGTCAAGCAGATCCAGGTGGTGGTGCTTCACAGAGACCAACTCGCACCATACCTGCCCTAGGTTCCACCTGAAAGGGAATCAGGCACTGGAAGCCAACCACAAACTCCAGATTCCCTCCACCAACCATACTGTAAAAGCTACTATGTAAAGTCAGGGAACCATATTTACACTGTAAATTGTGGGCTGTGGATGTGTTACCTATAGTATTTTTGTCTATAAATAACTGTGTATATTTTAACAGCAATAAACTGAAGGTCAGCCTCTGGGCCCTTGGCAGTGCTTTAGTCATGCTTTTGGGTGTCACTAGCCATTTAGCACTGAGTTCTGCTTTAAAGTGTAAATAGGAGTTAACATATCTTCTGTTGCAGTGCTGCTGGGAAACAGAGACCCTTAAAAGGGGGATAGCAAATAGCGATTCAGAGGCTGCACTCTAGACTCTAGCCTCCTCCGCTCATAACTATCAAGGCAATTGTTTCATCAAATTGAGGGGTTCTCCCCCAGATGACAGTTATTTTGTTCCATCTCTGCCACCCCAATTCTCTCATTCCCTGCCTTTCTCCAAAATTGCCCTCAGAAAATAAGACTAATTCATTTTCGACAGCCCCAAGCAGCAGGCAATACTTAAGTATTTATGCCATTATTGCTCAAGCTGCAATTTGAACAAATCCTGTTATTGCCCAACTGCAAGCTCCACATTCTTTCTATATCCTCCCAGTGTCAGTGAAGATGTGATGTGTTGAGTGTGCATATGTGTGTGTGTGCTATGTCTGTAAAATTACCGGAATGTTTTTTTGTAGTTGTAAATGACTTCCCAGGAATATTTAACTCTTTTCCAGGTATTCAGAGTTTCTCACCATAAACAAATTTAATTTTGAAAACAGAAGAACAAAAATGACTAATAATTATAAAATGTTATGTCTAATAATTATAAAATGTTAAATATTATAAAGTGACTTGATTTCATTATTTTACATTATTTACTCTTTTACAACTGTTGGTTATATGGTAATACTAGAGTTACAGTTATTCTTAAAAAGGTACACAAATCGAAGATGCCAACCACAAAAAATTTTACCACTTTTTAAAAATTTAATCTATCTGCCTGATAACGGCCTTTCATCAAAAAGTAGATACTAGCTCATCAGACGTCCACATCTAATGCAGTGGAGGCTGTCTCTTCTGAATCATACCTAAGCAGTTTTATTAACTTTGATGATGGAAAATTTTACCTGCAAAGGTGTCTTTTCTATTTTCCCTAAATCTGCCTTATGCATGATGTAACATATTGTCAACAAATGATGTACAGTATAATTAAATTTCCACCTCACCATTTTTCAAAGGACTGCATGTTGCTTTAGATTTTTTAATGTGCTTTCAGTTCATTGGGGGCATCCATTGGCTTTGCAGAGACTTGATACTTCTGAGACATGCTTTAATATTTATTAAAATCATGTTAATGTTGCACAGTAATGCAAAAGTGTGAAGTGAATTGAAAAACAAGGTAAGTAACATTTGGCAATAATACAAGCATTCATGGCTGTGATGTTAAGTCAATATAAAACTGGAGACCAAATAAATAAAATAAATCTTTTCCAACCATCATTTCCCCCAACAAGATTTTCAAATAACAATAACAACATGGTTTGTAGCATGACTGACTCACCATGGAAGGAGTTGTGTCCCACTGTTAGTGGGATCGGCCTCTCTGGCTGGGACTGTGTGTGTGTGGTATGTTTGTGGTAGTATTTGGGATTTATAGCATACTGCTGGCTCGGACCTGGGAGTATGGGCTGGATCCAGAGGAAAAAGTCAACAAATATAATAAATACGTACAGGTTGCAGCTATATGGACACATTGTTTGTTCTTCAGGTTTTTGGACATTCAGTGTGAAACAAAATAATAGATAATGCATTCAAATGACAAGTATCAGCTTTAATTTGTGTGAGCTTTTGTGAATATTAACGTAATGCCCAAACTTCAAGGTTTTTAAAGGAACTGGACACTTCTTCCACACAGCTATGTGGTCTTTCAATGGTAGTTCTTGAACTAAAGAGTTCACATGTGATGAAGTTATTTGGCAATAAGAGGCATAAAGAGATGGCCATGCAAGTGGAGAAGATAAAGCAAAAATCTATCCAAGAGGTTTCAAAGGTAAAAACAAACAACTACAAAAAACAACTTTTGGGTTTATTCTAAAAACCAGGTGTTCTCAGGAAAACTAAAGGGTAGGTCTTTTGGATGAATGAAAAATCATCAGCATGGTAAAGAAAAAGTCCTTCATGGTGGTACAGTGAATAAAATGAGCATGTTTCCTAATGGCTGCAGTGAAGACCTGGGAGGACATCACCAAGGAAGAATTAAAGTGTCTGCTGATGTCTATTAGCCAAACTGCTCAGGTAGTCACTGACTTCAAAGGATTCTCCTAAAATATTAAGTATGCTGTTTGACATTATGTGTATCACTCCATTATGCAACCTCTACACATAAAGACCCCAACTGGCAAACAGGTGCAAACCCTGTGCTTTTAACCACTGCACCACCATGTCACTGCCAAAACATAAAAACTATAAATCCTTTAAAGGTAGGGTTGGCGATTCCTTTCAGAAGCATTTTTTGTTACATTTCTTGAATTTCTCTTCTCATCCTGACAACAATGAATATATTAAATGCTTTGACAACATAAAGAAATAAAATCCATCCTCTGTGGCAGCAGCACAGCTGAAAAAAGCCAGACTAATAATTTTACTTGTCCCAAACAAAACCACTGGATGGCCAATCCTGCCTGTCCACCTACTTGCTATTTGTGCGCACTTGGCCCATGCACTCAATGCATGAGCCATGGATCTCCACAAGGTGTTGCAGTTGCAGGCAGATGTGTTACTGCTCTGTTTTACAGCTAAAGCTAGTGAGCTATGGAAGAGAAGGTGCCCATAACAGCTTTCATTTGCAGAGACCATTGTTACGGACCAGGTCTTCCCCCTTTAGTATACGTAGCCTCCTAGATAATGTTCCATTTCTTATGCGTTGCTACAGTCACTGACTTAGACAGGAAGCAGGAAGTAAACCATGCATGCTTAGTTATAGGTGACAACTACATGATTCAGATGTCTTATGTCTCAGTCCGTATCCATCCTTTGTTTGTTGTTTACAGAAGCATTGCTTGTAAGTACTGTTATGTTTTAACAGCATTATAAAAGGTTATCTTGGTAGTTGTGAGCATTTAACAGTCTTTTGTTGATGACGTTCCGTGTGAGTAATACAGCAGTATGGCAGCTACACTTAGCTCAGTGTAAACATCCATTTAGCTTTCTTATGAGGATGATGACCAATTTGTTTCAAATTTATGTTTATTTGAACTACCTCGCATATGTGTTTACATGGAATATGATGTTAGTGTGCTATGTGTTACAGCTAAGTACCTGAGAGATATGTTTGTTATTTCTTTCAGTTTCACTCCTTATGGGCATATGAAGGAAATGTTGTAATAAACAGACATTACACCTGTCACCTGTCCAGGTGTTTATCTGTCTGCATAGCTGTGCTCAACTTAACAGCCAGGGCAGACCAGTGAAAAGGCAGCCTTCATCTGCAGCAACAAATCTCAAGTGGAAGTACACAGCCTGCCAAGTCTTGATCATGTCTCACCTGCGAGATGAAGAAGCCATGTCAGTCCAAAACCACATATCAAAAATATCAAAGTGCTCCTCTAAGTCATCGGCCAGCCTATCTGCAGTCAATGCATGGGCCAAAGCAGAGGCAGCTTGGGTGAGAGCAACATTCACTCAAAGGGAAATTGAAATGAGAGTCAAACAAGCGCAACTTAAAGTGGAAGAAACACATCTGGAAGCTACATTAGAAGCTCTCCATCAGCAATGCGAGGAAGAAGCTGCCCTTGCTGAAGCCACCGTGTATGAAACTGCACCAAGTGGCATTGATGAAGAGCGCATGAGTGGTGCTCTCTCTCAGACACACCACCCTCTAGAATGCACCAAACAGTATGTAAGAGAGCAGTCCCTTGATTATGATAAATTAATGTTACATGATAAAGTGAATCCCCATCCAATGCCAGTGCACCCTACATTCCTTCCACTCCAGCAGAAGGACGACATTTCTGACCCTGGTATTGGACCCTCTAACACATCACCTCCCATTAACAATATAAAGGACAGCCTATCTCAACTATCCCACTGCTTCATGGCACCTGAACTACTACCAGGTCTGAGACCTCTGATTCAGCCACAAGAATATTCAGGAGTACACAAGGTTGGAGTACTCACATCACAAGGTTTCTTGCCAGACACGAGTTGCTCACCGGAAGACTGACTAGATTCACTCACAGGCCTGGAGACTACTGGGCTTGGAAATCCTCATTTGAAAACACCATTCAAGGTTTACACTTGAAGGCACTGCTTGACAGGCTGGAAGGTTTTCCCAGAGTTGCAAACAAGGACCCTCATCTACTATGTGACCTTGGGGACCTTCTTTCAGAGATAGATTCTGCCAGGAGTGAGCGTTACATACCAGGGCTATCATATCTCAACATAGCACGTGGACTCCATCCCATTGTAGACAAACTTCTATTCAGCCTGCAGGAACAAAGTATAAACAGGAACATTCAGTGTCATTTCCACCCTTTTCTGTTTTTGGTGCCTTCATCAGAGATGAGAATTAGAATCAGAATGAGAATCTGCTTTGTTGGCCAGGTGTATCGGACACACGAGTAATTTGACTGTGGTACATCGGCTCTCTATGCATGTACATATCCCCATGCAAGGGGCAAGTAGACAGTAAAACAACATAAGGCTGTGTAATATAACAAAATAGGCAGTATTAACAAGCAACAAACAGTGTAAACAATGCAAAATAAGCAGTATAGACAGGCAGTAAACAATGCAGACAAAGGAATGCTCATTGTGAAATGAGATAAACAAAAATAAAACTAAAGCACTTAAAAATAGAGACTTGTACAAATCTGTATAATCTGTACAAAGTATTATATTTACAGGTTTTGCACTGAGGGTTATTGTCCAGTCATACTGTCATGGGTCAAGTGTTCATTAGCGTGATGACCAAGGGGAAGAAACTGTCCCTGTGCTTGGTTATCTTGGTGCACAGTGACCTGTAACGCTGTCCAGAGGGGAGGAGTTCGAACAGATTATATCCCGGGTGTGAGGGGTCTGCAGTGATCCTATCCGCCCTCCTTTTGACCCGTGAGGTGTACAGGTCCTCTATGGAGGGCAGGCTTGCACCAATGATCTTTTCTGCAGTCCTGACTTTCCACTGAAGTCTGTACTTGTCCTGTTTGGTTGCTAAGCCAAACCAGACAGTTATGGAAGTGCAGAGAATGGACTCAGTGATTCCTCTGTAGAACTGTATCAGCAGCTCCTGGCGCAGATCAAACTTCCTGAGCTGGCGCAGGAAGTACATCCTCTGCTGTGCCTTCTTGATGATGGTCCTGATGTTGGACGTCCACTTCAGGTCCTGGGAGATAGTGGAGCCCAGGAACTTGGAGGACTTTACTGCTGATACAGTGCTGCCAAGTATGGTGAGGGTGGGTAAGGTGGGGGGCTCTTCCTGAAGTCCACTGTCATCTCCACTGTTTTGAGCGTGTACAGCTCCAGGTTGTTGCGGTTACACCAGAGGCCCAGCTGCTCAACCTCCCGTCTGTAAGCTGACTCGTCACTATCTCGGATGAGACCAATGGCCGTTGTACCATCAGCAAAGTTATGGAGCTTTACAGAGAGGATCCTTCAAGATGCATTCGTTGGTGTAGAGTGAAAACAGCAGAGGGGAGAGCACACATCCCTTGAGGAA